GCTCCTTACCAGGCAAGACCCTTGTTCAAAGAGCGGAGGAAATTCTCACAGATGGCTGATCCAGTACTTCAAGGCCAATATCCCGTTAGAGGTTTGTATCAAGCTCTAGCAGTTGCAGCAATGTGTGTCCACGAGCAACCTAACATGCGTCCAGTCATAGCAGATGTTGTCACAGCCTTATCTTACCTTGCTGCACAAAGATTTGACAGTGATAGTACTCAAGGAGTTCAAAACTCGCGCTGGACACCTGCTACTCCACCTAGAACGAAACGAGATGGTGATAAGCGACAAAAGGGTGGAAGTTCTGAAGCTAGATGGTGAATAATAGACTAAACAAGTTTTTTCTCTAGGAACAAGTACAAAATATCAAGACGAGCGACCTATTGGATAGCTGCTAGTTGAAGCTAGTTCAGTACAAATGACAATCAAAGGTACCTCAAATACAAGTTCAATCAGAAGGAACAATTTTGTAGCTCAGAAATCAGACCAGCTACGCTTATCTTCCCTTGTTATCGAGCATGTTTGCTTTCCCCTTTAATCGTTTGAGTACATAGTTGATGCGTGTTACTGCACTTTATGGTTTCGGTCATTTCTTGGCGAAGTTTTCTTTTGTACAGGCATGCCATATTGTGTGCAAGTATTGTATTGTGAAACAGCAAATTGTGATGTATAATTACAGAATGGGGATTGTAGTTATATTCTTTTTAGCCATATCTTTGTGATCAAAGACATTATTGAGTATTGAAATGAATGGGGTCGGATTGAGCTGAATGAATATAGAGGATTCATATAGTTGACTCAAACTACTTCGGCTTGAGGCGTACTTGATCAATTGAATTGTAGTCATTGAATAAATGAAACTTTGACGAATAACAATATTGCATTTCTTTCAGTTCAGGATGATTAACTCTCTCTCTCTCTGTATCCTTCTATGTTCTTTTCCCAATTTTTTTTCCTTCAACGTTCTCTGATTTTTATCCTTTCATGTTGAATTTGAAAAGTGTTTTTTCCAGAAAAATTAACAAAAGAACAAAACAGTCTCAGTATCACGGAGAACAAAGGAATTAAGATGCAGTTGTGTTGTGGCTGGCCACAATTTGGATCACATATAATTTATCTCCGACAGTTCAGTGTCTTATCCCTACCTCTCCCCTCCCAAAGCTTCAAATGCAGGCAAAAATAGTGTATCCCTATATCAGTATAATGATTTGAATTTAAATTTTATTGACAACCACTAAAAAGCTTCGAAGTTTTTAATTAGAAAATCAGGTTTAATTAAATTATTATTTGTTTGGAGTGAGTGTTATCGCAAATGATCGAGAATATCACTTTGGAGTGTATATCTCAATTCTGAGAGAATTTGGTGAAAGATTCAAGGCGGTTTTGATTAGAATTTCAGATTGAAACTCGACAAAGATATAAACAAATTAATATTTTGTTTGTCGGGTATAGAAGCGGCATACAAAATATATACAACTAATATATATAAGTTATATGTAAATTATAGTTTTTGACCGGATTCTGTACAAAAAAAATTATATTTAAATTGTAAATAAAATTGTGTATTTTGACCGAAATATGTACATAAAATTTGTATTTAGAGATGTAGATAAATTGTATTTTGATAAGATTTGCATTTCTTTTGTAAAAATTTTTAGATACTTTTTGTAAATAGGAAAACTTAGACAAAATCGGGTAAATAAATTTAAAATCTCGAAAAAGTATTTAGGCCCACGTTTTGGCCTGCCTAGCCCCTCCCACAAGCCCACATCTTTAAAGGATATGGGCTCGGGTTCACCATTTTCAGAAAGGGGAAAAAACATGGTATACCCATCTATATAAACTCTTTATTCAATACGCCTAACTATAGAAATTACATAGAAAATCCCTAAATAATTACACCGTATACCTTTTTATTAATCTGCGGAATCCTAACTATTCACTGTTTTAGGGGATAATATCCCTTAAATATAGCCATAACTATTGTAATGTGTATGTAGAGTATATTAAGATTCACCTCTCTCTCATAATCAAAACCTATTACTCTTCTCCACCAGATTTTTTTTTTTTTTTTTTTTTTTTTTTTTTTTTTTTTTTTTTAATCCTACAAATTCTATGTAAAGTTTCTCCCGTCTAACCATGTTCTTTATGTTTTGAATAACTTGATAAATATGAAGCGTAAAACATAAAGTTTTAGACAAAACTCTAATGGAAGCTTTTGGCATCTTTTTTAAATTCATAATCTGTTAGAGAAAAGTACAACTCTGAAAAAAAATATTCTTTGCACAGTGAGAACTTTATAATAATACATTATTCAACTCTAAATAAAAATCACAATATTCTAATTTAGAATACAATATTCAAAACTGACATGCTATAATATTCCAAACTGAAATATCTATTTAATTCTACTTAAATACACAATATTCCAACTTGGAAAACATTATTGGGGTACAGGATCGCTTCCGAATGAGGCTCGGGGAAGGGATTACAAGAACACCAGTCCTGGTCAATTACCAACCTCTAGGCAAACCTTAAACCACGATGCTCCTCACAACCCTTCAACGGCCTCCTGTCTAAACAGGTTTACGAGCGCCACCGGTTAGGTTGGCCTAACCAAGATTTACTGTCGAGACTAGTAACTGTCTGGTCTATATAGTTCTTAACTAAAATCTCATCGGGTTGACACAATAAACTTCTAACTACCAAACATGTATAGTAAATAACCTTCGAGAACTAAGTTTAACACTTACCTGTTTAGCCTATCATTTAGGCTAACAGTACTGTAAAATTGAAGAGGGAAGGAGAAGAACAGTACCAAACCAGAGACCCTTAGTTGTGACCAAGCAACCTTTTTGATTTTATTTCAAAATGAAAAATATTACAGAATAGATTCTTTACAAGTGGAGAGAGAAACTAGAGAGAAGGCAGAGCTAATGCTTTGGCTAACACCTGCCTCTAAAGGATGGAAAATGATCCTTATATAATGGATCAGCCTACAAACAAACAAACAAAACTAAAAAGTAGAACTGGCCGACAAAATAATTACAGGTGTGGCCGACAAGATAAAAAGATGAAGTACTATAATTACAAACAGACAAATTGCTTTATAAAAGTAGATTCCCTTCAATAATGGAGGGACCCTTTACTTTATTAAAGTTGTCTTTATTATCCCAATAATTTATCTGATGGGGCCTTCAATAATTCAGACTTTGCTTTTCCCTTTGTCATTTTTCTCCGAAGATTCTTCGGCATTTTCCTTCAGCTTTGCAAGGAAATCTTCAATTTCTTCAATATTCATTTCCGTGTCCGAGGAGCTCTGCGCTTCACCTGCTACACATACTTCTTCATTTGAAGTGCTTCCAATGGAGGCCATAGAGATATCATCTCTGACATAGGCCTAATTTGACATAGGCCTCTATTTTAGCCTGTATTTGTTGGATTAACTCTTTACCATATAACTTCCCTTGCTGGTTGGACTGGAGTAATTTTGTCCAAAACTTATGATAAAAGATTCTATCTAAACAGTGAATTCCTTCACTGGTATAACCAACTTGTACATCCCATCTCATTATCCACGGGATAGAAAATTCTATGAAAAAGTACATGGCAGCAATGCCCTCATAAAAGATATTATCCTTTTGTAGTGAAATAATTTTGGGAGATATATCTACCCATTGAGAATATAAGCTTTTAAATAAACTTGGAAGTGTTTCTAATGATGGACCGTATAACTTCCACCATTTGAAGAACCAATTTGGAATTTGTTGTACGAACATATTAGGACAGAGTTTAATAAACCAAGAATGTTTCCTATTAGGATTTTCATAAAGGAAAGTTTTATTAAAACTCTCTACATAGTCCCAATAATTAAATTTGACTGAAATGTTTTGGTCAAGATGTGTATATTCACGATCCTTGAGGGTACTGATACCCCATTCATCAGAAGGTATAACCTTTTTAATAATGATTTTTGAAAAACTATAAGTTTTTTTGGTATTAGCAGGATAAAAGTGTTGAATTTCAGCAGATCCTATTGTTGAGAGTATAATCTCATAGTGCATCCTGTATTTATAAGCAGGAGTAGCGTATGACGCTGTATCAAAATACCTGGCCATTATTGCCAAGGGTTATCCTTCCATTTAAGGTCGGATTGTTCCAAAAGAATTATTAACTTTTTTTTGAGTATAAAACTCAAAATTTTCATTACTATCCTCTGATATAACTGAGGAATAGGTTGGTACATTAGATGATGTATCTTCATCTTTCTTGGATTGTATAAAATCCATAAATTCCTTGTATAACAGATGTTCGGTATTACCTTGTGTCAGATTAGCGGCTATTAGCCTTTGATTTCCGATTTGGGCGAGAGTATTACTCTCTTCTTCCTCGTTGCCGAGGAGGTCTGTATACAGGCCTCATAATCTGTAGAGACAAATGAAGAACTATTAGTTCAAATATTCTCTTGTAAGAAAATCAGGAAGGGTATTATTAGAGCCTTTTTTTATATAATTTCGAATCAAAAGGGGCTAATAAAGCTTGCCATTTTGCAAACATTTGTTTAGAAACATCATGTTTAAAATCTTTATTAAAGATAAACTTTGCTGCTTGGCAATCAGTTTTAATCAAAAAATTTTGATTATATAAATCAGTCTAAAATTTCAAAGCACATTTGACAATAACAAGAATTTCTTTAGCTACAGTCGCATAATTTTTCTGGGTGTCAATCCATTTACCAGAATAAAATGGAGCAAGATATTTTTGTTTATCTACTGGAGAACATTGTTTTAATATACCGCCATAACCAATATCAGAGACATCAGTTTCCACAACCTTTGCTCAAGTGGGATTGGTGAGAGTCAAACACGGAAGGTTATTAACCTTTTGTTTAATTCTCTTGACTGCTTCAGTGTGACTGTCAGTCCAAGCTTTAGGGTTTTTCTATAATCTTTCATAAAGAAGAGCAGTATCTTTAGTAAGGTCCTTTATAAAAGGAGAAATATAATTTAAGCTTCCTAAAAATCTCTGAAGATGGGTTTTATTCGTAATTATATCAGGGAACTTAGAAGCAAATTCAATACTTCTACTAATAAGAATAATCCTACCCTTCTCAATGTTATATCCCAAAAATCTAACAGAAGTTTGGAAAATCATCATTTTTGGTTTTGATATAACTAAACCATTTTGAATAATAATCTTTTTGAATAAATCTAAATGTTTGAAATGAGATTCTATATTTTTTGAAAATACTAGAATATCATCAATATAAACAATTATGAAGTCCGTATAAGGAAGGAAAATATCATTCATAATTTTTTGAAATTCAGAGGGAGCATTTTTCAAACCAAAGTGCATAACATTCCATTCATATTGACCCATGGGTACATTGAAAGCAGTTTTATATCTATCTGATTCAGATATCTGAATTTGCCAATAACCTGATTTTAAATCAAATTTGGAAAATATAATGGCATCATGTAATCTATCTAATAAATCCTTTTTATTAGGAATATGATATCTAATCCATTTTAACACCTTATTAAGGGGCTTGTAATTAATAACTAATCTAGGAACTCCTCGTTCCTATTCAGCATGCTTATTAACATAAAAAGTAGTACAAGACCATTTGGACTTTGAGGGTCTAATTAAACCCTTTTGCTGTAAGGAATCAATTTCCTTTTTGCATAACTCCAAATACTCAGAGTTCATTTGACAAGGTCGAGCCTTGGTAGGAATATTATCCTCAGAAAAGTCTTCTTCATAAGGAAGACTTATAATATGCTTTTTT